ACCCACCTTAAGAGAGTCACCATGATGATTATATTTAACCAATTAGAGTGGCTCATTCAAAGCTAATTCCTTTCTCCTTCCTCCTTTCCAAGAAGACTTGCTGCTTCATACACATTTTCATCTCCTTTGGAATGCCCTTCATAGATGGAAAGCAGTATTTAAAATTAAGCCTGGGTTACCACTTGGCTTCTGGCTACTGAAGATCTATCCACGTGTAAATTGAAGATGGAATTTCAGGGTGGGTCAAAAGAGAGTATATGTACATGGTCGACTTATATTTTACTATGTTTTTTGTATTAGCAAACTAAAGTGCTTCTTGTGTGTCTTGGGCTTGTCTAAGCACTTCATGAATATTGGCTCATTTTATATTCATGATAATCTTATGAATTAGGCACTGCTATTATTTCCATAATGCCAATGGGGAAAGGATGTACAGAGAGGTTAAGTAACTTGCCCACAGTCACATAGCTAGTAAGCCACACAGCCAGGATTCAAACCTGGGGAGTCACACCCCATAATTCATGCTCTTAGCCACTACACTATTATACAAAAGCTACAAATAAAAGGAATAACCCCATACTGTTCACTATTCCTTCATTCTTATGAGACCTTTGTTGATTATTTCTTTTCTCTATTTCCCTACATTAAGAAAAGTAGTAATTTGTCTCAGAGAATCTTTTAATCAATATCAGAAAAAGCAATATGCATAGAAAGTTTTAGCAACAGTCATTTAGAGGAAATTTGTTTTCAATGTGTGTATATATATATATATATATATATATATATATATGGCTGTCAATAGTAGCTATCTCTGTAAAAACAACAGAACTGTTGTTTGTTTAAATTTTCTAGGCTACATATAATTAATTTGAACATGAGAGAGCATGCGTGCGTTTTTTTTTTTTTTTTTTAAGTACTGGTTACCTTCCTTCAAGAGCACATATATTTTCAAAGGCCTCACTCCCTTCCTAGGAATGAGCAGCTGTAGCCAGGAAGTACATGAAATAAGAAACAGTGCCATTGGCAGGAGGCTTAGATTAAAGCTTAAGGAAATTCCCAAGATGATGTTCTTAAAGGGCATTCAAAGGGCATAGGCCAGGTAGAAAACTGATGGTGATGGACAAACAATGGTTGTTTTTTTCTTTTTATTGGCAAACCCAAGTCCAATCTCCAGTGTATATTTATTATGTATTTAGGTATGTATGACCTAAGTCTGGCACTTACATCTTCCTTATTACTTTCTCTTTGTGTAAATGGGCACAACTATTCCTGTTCCCTCCCACACACTGATGCTGCAAGGATAAATGAGATAATGTTTATAGTTCCACAGAGGAAGGATACTAGGTATACTAAAAATATCACTATTTTTAAAGTCCTTCCTTTCCTTGGAAAGTAGAGTAATGCCACATGTGTGCAATGCTATTTAAGAGTTAAATTTTTCATAGAAGTTAATTTTTTTTCTTCAGAAAATAGATACTTATTCCACTAAGGACTAAAGGTTCTTTCAAAGTTTTAAACAATTTTTTTAATTCAGCAATTTGAATTTGTTGATTTATTCTTTTAATTAGTGGGTATTGAATGCTAACCACATGCAATGTATTCTAATAAAATCTCCTCTGGTTATACAAAATATACTTAGCCATTTATTAATAATGCTGTAAGACACTGGTATATGTGAAAGGTATCTTAGTTGACTTCAAACTGCATCATCACAAAGCTGCTGATGCAGTTTTAGGCTACAGAAATAAAAGCCCTAGATCTAAGTTAAGAGAACTATTAGTTATGTTTATTCTCTACTGATCAGACAAATATGGAATTAAATTTTAGGTGTATAGATTAAAGTAAACTGGTGTATACCTAAAAAGGGGTGATTAAGATGGTAAAAGGTTTGGAAATCATGTCAGATGGGCAATAAAACAAATACTTGGAGGGGGACTGTTAAGAGGAATAATAAATTTGGCTTCAGATCTTTGAATATTTCTCAGAAGAGAAATTGGACTTATTCTGCATAGTTGCAGATTATTAACACATAGACAATGGGCTCAAGGTCATGTATGATTCTGAATACTCTATGATTTATTAGAGACCTTAGTTATTTTACTAAGTTGTAAAAAAGTGATGCCTTTATTGCCTTCTGGTGCTTTGCCTCTGTACTAAAAGGCCTTAGGCTGCTGTGTTTGGAGGTTTTGTTGTTACTGATTTTGTTTTGTCCGTGTGTCTGCTTTTCATAGTTTCCCCATCCTCCTTATTACTAGGCTGTCTGAAATTTAAATAGAATCCTGATTCATTTCAACATTTCTACTATGCTATGGTCTAGGAAAACATCATAACCAAACATTAAAATAGCATAAACAGGGGCTGGGGATTCAAACCTGGGGAATAGCTCAGTGGCAGAGGGCTTGCCTAGCTTGTGTTCGGCCCTGGGTTCAATCCCCAGCAACACACACACACACACACACACACACACACACGAGTAATTTAAATGAGACCCTGAAGAGCTCTCCTATGGGTATGTTCTTTGGTACATGGACTTTTTACTATTTTAATTATTAAAGTCCTTTTCAGACTTCTTCCAAGTTATCAAGAATGTTCTAGATTTAATTTTGCCAATTGTATGGTTTCTGAAAACTTGTTATTGAAGTTTTATAAGTTTGCTAAACTTCCTACTAATTCATACTATTAAAAATTCTTAATCCATTATTAAAATTAAAAAAAAAAACACAATCATAGTCAATGATGTTTACCATTAAACAAGATTTACCTAAGCTTACTTTAATAGCAACTTCAAAATGAAAGTATAATTTGTAACAATTTAGGCTGTATAAGCAAATGAAACTGATTAGAATGCTGATTCTTTTTCCTTCTGAGATGGTTTATATATAAAGTATTGGTGTAGAATGAACAGATTCCTTTCAAATATGGGGAATCATTCTCATTTCACTGATTTTCTTCTTAGTCTCTGTTCTTAGTATATAGCAATACATAACTCAGTCAAAAACATTTAAGGAACTGGGTGTCATGGTTCCTACCTGTAATCCCAGTGAATTGGAAAGCTGAGGCAGGAGGATCCAAAGTTTGAAGCAAGCCTGAGCAACTTAAAAAATAAAAAGGGTTGGAAATGCAGCTCACTGGTAGTGTCTCTGGTTCAATTCCCAATACCAAAACCAAAAATTTAACAAACGTGTACTATATGTCTGGTAGGTATTTTCAGTTAAGAATATGAATATGGACTGGGGATGTAGCTCAGTGGTAAAGTGCTTGCCTAACATGTGCAAGGCCCTGAGTTCAATTCCCAGTACCATTCCCCCCAAAAGAATAATGAATATAAGAAAATGTTTTGTATAGACTAAATACAAGAGGCTGTCCTACCATTAAGGAGTGTATTGTCTTGTTAAAATAAACAAGAACCAGTTATAGAGCAATCAAGGAAGTATATTATCTATGCAGGATCTTTGCAGATAGTTAATGGTTCTGAAATTTATAATAAGAAATGGAATAGTTGTGCCTAAACATAGTAGACCCAGAATTAATAATAAATGTTTTCTCTGCTTTTACTTCCCTTGGCAATTAGGTTAATATTGTGCTGAGTCTTAGGCTGTTAACAATTTCAATAAAAAGTACAGTTGGAGAGGTGTTTTAATGACTTGTCATTAGGAGCCTGTCTATATGATATGAAGAAAGTCCCCCAATAGTTAAAAAAGGATTTGTTTTCTAAATGGAAAATGTCATATGTGTTGCTGTGACACACTGGTTTGCCACTTCCTAATGTCAATCAAAAGAATAACTTTTAATGTTTCCCAAGTGGATTATTCTGACCTCAATCCAGTTCCCTCCTGGAAGAGATAAACTTCTTATATATAACATTATATAATAGGTTTATCTCTCCCCTGAGGAACTGGATTGGGATCATTATAAATAATTCTACATGTGCCCCAAGGCTGAATTATTCCCACTTGCAATACACACAATAACTGAATGGTATCTGTAAAGTACTTAATTTTCTGGGAAATATTCAAAGGCACAAACCGAACGCTGCAATACAAAATTGCATTTGTCTTAACTTTTGCCAATTTCCCTGAATATGTAAGCAGAATTACATTTTCACAGAACTTGCAAAAGTCCCAGACTCCAGTGCTATTTAATCTCCTTCCATAAACACCAGCCCTGAGCAATCCTATCTATCCTAATTAGCTGCTTGTGGTTACTACTAAATTTTTGCCCATGAGTTATTTCATAACATTATTGTTGCACAGCACACCATACTCTATAGAGTGAGAGTGCGTGGAAGGACCAAAGAATTCTTTGTAATTATGAGAAAGATGTTCTTCAACAGTTCACTAACTAATCCCGTGACCCTTTTCTTGCAGCACCCTGAGTATGATTAAAGAACCCCATTTACACCTGGCTACACCCTCAGACCCATAGACAGTGAGTGTTTAGCCCGGAAGCGCCCCCATCCCCAAAAGGTGGCAGAGAAGCAGCGAATGCTACTTAGTGGCGCGATCTCGGTGCCAGTACCGGGGTCTGAGTTGGGGGTTCCGAACCCGGGTCGTGGGACTCGCGAAGAAGGGCTGGCAGAAAGAAGAGGGAGGGCTTGTTTTGCTGGGGGACGTGAAAAGTAGGCGCTAGCCTGTTTCGCGGTTTTTTAAGCCCCTTGGCATGCCCTGACCTGACCAAGAGGGAATCAACTGCTCTCAGGAATGTTCCGGGAGAAGGTGGGAGATTGCTTCCCAGGGGAGGCCTGTGGGTGCTGGAGGACACCAGGGGGGTCACGCAGGAAGATGCAGGGCGCGCGCCGGGAGGGGCGCCAGGGCAGCTGGGGACCGAGGGGAGGGCGCGCGCCTGGCTGAGGCGGGCGGGACCAGACGGCCGCGGGGGTGGCTGGTCGGGGCGCGGTGGACCCCTCCCCGGGCGGCGACGCGGCGACCCGGCCGCGCGGGCTGCACCGCCCGGGCTGTCAAGCACGGGGGGCGGGCGGGAGGAAGGGGTGGAGGTGCGAGGGGAGGAGGGCTGGCACCGGAGCGCCGCTGTGTCGGTGCAATAAAAATGCATCCCATGGAACTGCCCATGGAGAAGGACGGGACCGAGGCGCGGCAACCAGAGGAGGTGGTAAAAGCGGAGGAGGACGCCCAGGAGGCGGCAGCGGCGGCAGGGACGGCCGGGAAGTGAAAGGTCTCGCAAAGTTCAGCGGCGGCTTCGGGCGCCGAGCCCCAGGCTAGCGGCGGAGAAGCCCTCAGGACCTCTCGGCCGGGCAGCGCGGCCAGGCCGGCTATGGTCCCCGGGTTCCCGCCGCCCCCGAGGTGCCCGGGCCCCGCCAGGCCGGTGCGCGAGGGTCACCCCACCGCCCGGCGCGGCCCCGGCCCACGGCTCCGCGCCACGGGTGCCCACTGACCAAGCCTAGCGCCCCAGGAGGAGGAAGAAATAAAGAGCCCCGGGTTCTCCTGAGGACGGTTGCCGCTTCATCCCACAGCCGGGAGGTCTCGGCTCCCTCCCGCAACCGCCCAGCCCGGCTGCTCCCGGCTGCTCCCGGCTGCTCCCGGCCATGGGGAGCTGCGCGCGGCTGCTGCTGCTCTGGGGCTGCTCCGCGGTGGCCGCAGGTGGGTGGTGACGCTGCCGGGCCCCCACCCCCCTTCCCTCGCTCCTTCTATTCCCCAGCTCGAAACTCAGGGGTGCAGAGGGCCGGGCTGGGAGCTCAGAGCTCGGCTCCTGAGGATGAAATGAGTGGCCATGTTCCGCCTCCTTTCCCCGGGGCCCCGCAGTTTCAAATACCATTGATATTTTTTGCAACCGAGATACACTTGCCCTGGGATAACCCGATATCCTGGGTGCGTCCTACTAGAGATACTGCGACCTGGGTTTCTTTCTCGATTTAGTTTGTTAAAAAAACTGTTTCTCCACTTTGTGAGGGAACAAAGGACCCAGCTCGCCATCCCCCGGCACTTCATGGCCTGAGGAGTGATGAGGAACGGTGGCCCAGCGACCCTGGGCGCGCGTGGGCCTGGGCGTGTCTCTCGTTGAGAGCGATCACCAACGTCCCCAACCTAGCGCAGGTGACTAGGGAACCAGGTAGGGCCACCTGGGGCGGGGGTGAGTGCCCTCTCCCCGGGGTGACTGGAACGCAGTGGGACTCCGGGTTAGGACGATAGGTGGTGATCACCCTGCACGGAGCTGGCTGGCCGCCCCTGGGGAATTGGTACCCTGGCCGAGGCTCTGCGGGAGGTCGGAGGCGGGTCTGCTCCCTGTCTCGGTAACTGGACAACCGGCAGAGGCGTCGTCAGATGCCCTCTCCCTCCCACTCTTGTCCTGGCTTTCTTGGACTGCCCTAGGCCACCCGTTCCCAACTCGCTGTTTCTAAATTCGGGAGCCCCTTCTGCTCCTGTCCCTCCCTCGTGCGGGTCACCTTGTTTCCAGTTAGGCATAAATGCAGCTAGCTGTGCGGGTAAAGAGGAAAGAAAGTGAGGGACCCTCAGCCATCCAGGCTTGCAGGTGAACCTCGCTTGCTCCAGAAAGAGGAGTGTAGGCTATAGAAGAGCACTGATGGATCGCACGCATCTCTTCCCTTAGCTCCTTCCACTCTCCTCCCAGAACCTCTGGGACCTGATAAAATGCAGGCTTTAGAGTACACACCCCTAAAGCAGTCAGTCAGAGAAGCATCCCCGGTGTACTTGGAGAGTCACTTTTTTAGTAATCTCCAAGTATTTTATTCACTGATTATTATTATTTATTATCAAATCTTTTCTAGACTTATTAATGTAGGGCATTTACAAATTATTTAGCACCCCCCAGGAACTGTTAAAGGTCTGTTCTTTCTTTAGTTTTTCTTGCTTATACACCCTTATGTGCACTAACATATGCTCCTCCAACCAAAAAGTGAACTTCAACAAGATTTTCCCTTTTTAAACCATGTTATGGCAAAAACATGCAAGCATTCAAGAGGTTGTAAATAAATATCACAAGGCAAGTGTTTCAAGTCAAAAATACTTGTACAGGCAGTATATGATTTTCCCCCGAAATGCTTTACAGGTGAGTCATAGCACACCGTGTGTTTGTGTGATTCTGGCCACAAGCAACTGTTGCTTCAGCTAATCAGAACAATGGCAAATAGAGCCAGGCATAGTACACACTTTAATTTGACATTTAGAAAATAATGCCCTTTATTTTGGTTGCAAGACTACATGGGGCTGATGATTGTCAATCAGCCTTGAAACATCTCCGTCTCCTTTTCAGCCAAAGCTGTCATTTGGCTCTCTTCAATACCACAGTGATAACAGTTCAGAAGTGCTCCCTTTTAAGCAGAAACGTTCAATTAGCCAGAATTTGGGGTTTGGTTTCTTTTTCCTTCTTTTCCTCTCTGTTTTAGCTTTTAAAATAGGTGATTTTGCTTAAAAGTATTCATAATTAAAATGACAGACCCAAATTAAAGGATTATGATTTGTAGTCTGGATGTTAATAAGTGGATAATGTTTATAATTTTAAGTAATTTTGAAACATTAAGGTCTCTTGGACCTTTGGGGGGAAGAGTGTGTTTCTTTAAGAAGGTGTTTTAGTTCACAGTCAATAGTTAAAGATGTGTTAGTGACTGCCAGAGTGTAAACATTCTCTTGTTAAGCAAACAGGTAACTGCTATGTAACCTGTCATAGGTAGAGGCACTCAAGAGGCAGAGAACATGTAAAATAAGCTTTCCTGTCATTTGGCAGTTTGGAGGGTTTTTTCATGGTTATGTTTACTTAGTATTAGAAATGGATTTTGCACATTTGCCATCCAGTGGTTTCTGGCTTTGCCTCCCTCAATGAGGTCCTATTGTATTATTACATGTTTATTAAATATCGCATATTGCTTTTCCTAGGGAATTTATCTTTTCATTGGCTTAAAAATATAAAGAAAGTAGAATTCTGCATTTCCTCCTAAATGCACTCCTTTTATTTAAACATTTATATTTTTTTTTAGTTATAGGTGAACACACTACCTTTTTTTATTTTTATGTGGTGCTGAGGATTCAACCCAGTGTCCCACGCATGCTAAGCGAGTGCTCTAGCTCTGAGCCACAACCCCAGCCCCTAAATGCACTTTTATAATAAACATGTTAGATAATTGCTAAGGACTCAAATTATATTTGAAAGACTAGGTGATCTTGAAAGAATGGGTTTGGGGGCTATAATTTCAGTCATGACTTTAAAAAATTATATTTCAAAAATATAGAATATTTATGATACAAAGTTCTCAAAAATATTAGGCCAATATTCTTCATCCCAGTGTTTGCATTTTCCCTCACTCTACATGACATTTTCTCTTATGTGAATTTTATAACTGAACATAAAAATCAAACACTTGGATACACAAATGTGTATGTGTACAGACCTATGTTCATGATCAAATCAGCCCATTAGAGAAAGTGTCAAGTTCTTTGGGGATACCTTGGCTGTGGCTGCTGAACCAGGTAGACAGAAGAGCTTTCCTAATGACATGTGCTTTCCCCTCCTCAGGACTGAGTGGAGTAGCTGGAGCCAGTTCCCGCTGTGAAAAAGCCTGCAACCCTCGGATGGGGAATTTGGCCTTAGGGAGAAAACTCTGGGCAGACACCACCTGCGGTCAGAATGCCACTGAACTGTACTGCTTTTACAGCGAGAATGCAGATCTCACTTGCAGGCAGCCCAAATGTGACAAGTGCAATGCTGCCCACCCTCACCTGGCTCATCTGCCATCTGCCATGGCAGACTCGTCCTTCAGGTTCCCCCGCACATGGTGGCAGTCTGCAGAGGATGTGCACAGAGAAAAGATCCAGTTAGACCTGGAAGCTGAATTCTACTTCACTCACCTAATTATGGTGTTCAAGTCCCCCAGGCCTGCGGCCATGGTGCTGGAACGGTCCCAGGACTTTGGAAAGACATGGAAGCCTTACAAGTACTTTGCCACTAACTGCTCAGCTACGTTTGGCCTGGAAGATGATGTTGTCAAGAAGGGAGCTATCTGCACCTCTAGATACTCCAATCCCTTCCCATGCACTGGAGGAGAGGTAAGGGCACCTATTTAACTCTACACTGTAAGTAAAGTAAGGTAGAAAAATGTTACCAGCCCACATTTTTTTAAAGCATGAAGCTGTACTTGTAGCAACATGAATGAAATTAGAATTTTTCATGAGCTTTATTTGTCATAAATTATTTCCCATCCTTGGATATGGATGTGCAGTCATTTCCAAGCAGGTTGCCCATTGGCTGTGTTTAAGACAGAATTCTAAGATTCTATTTTTTTTTTTTTCATTTTAAGAAAGAGTAGGCACATGCTCTGCTTTAGAGATCTAAAAGGCTAATGGTTTCTTCAGTTGGCAGGATTACATGTGTTACTGAAGGGGGAAGGAGTTACAAAGACAGCCTGTTCCTGGAGCCCACACTGGTACTTTCCTGATACTGTTAACATAAATAGGAAATAAATAAAAACAAAGCCAACAGAGGAAAAAAAAAATCTGTTGCCCAGAAGGATACTTCTGTGTGACAGTGGAGTTTTACTGTTAAGATTCCAAGAGTGCGTAGCAAACAAATGAAGATAGTTTAAGATGTAAGGTTCCTTTGGGGTTTACAGACAACATCTGTTCCAGCTTAGGGAGTTGGGTCTACCCTGGGTTCAAGACCAGCTCATTCACATTGTGCAAAACAGTCTCTTTAGCTGCTGGTCCAATTGTTGGGTGGAATATTTTCTCTCTAATATTTTCCTTTCCTAAGGGGGTACTTAGATTCTGCCATATATGTGAAGACATTCAGAGAAAACTAGATGAAAACAGATTAAAGAGAAGAGAGAGGATTATCATTCTAATTCTGAAATATATCATGAATATTCAGAATAAGTAAGTGGTTCTTGACTAGGGGTGATGTCACCTCCATCCATGGACATTAGGACACTTGGCAATGTCTGGAGACATTTGAGAGGGAGGACATTACCGGCTTCAAGTGGTTGGGAGCCAGGGAGGCTGCTAACAATGTGTAAGACAGCATTCCTTCCTCTACACCCAACAAAGAATTATCTACCTCAACATGTCAATAATAGGAAGGTTGAGAAAGCAGACCAGGTGTCATACACCCAGAGTACATATTACAATGGCTACGAACACCAAAGCACACATCTAGCAGTCCTTTATATAATTAGTCGAAAATTTCCCAGATGGCTTTATTTAATAAAAATTTATTGAGTTCTGCTATGTGTCAGGCACTGTAGTTGGTGCTAATTCTGCCTTTGGGTTGGTGGGGCACTCTGTTTACCAGGGCCTGATGAAAAGATTGCTCTGGGAACTTCTCCCACTATTCTCCATAAGAGACTTCCAACATGTTGTCCACCTACTTATTCTTCTGAAGAGACCACAAGAATAGGGCTTCTGGCCCCAGAACCAAGTAGGACCCAGGGCAGGCAGCACACCAATTGTGCCATTCTTCTTCATGGTCCCTAAGGTTCTCTTAATATTGTAAGCTCCTTTACACCCTATTATGATGGATGTTTTTAAAGGTATCAGGACAGGAAAGAGATAGATAAGTTCGACTCATTGCTTTCTTATGTGGAGAACACTTTGTGTTGAAAACAAACAAATGGCTTTAACTCTCAGATTGCTTTGGAATTGATCCATGGTCTCCTATCAGGTCCTTCCATCTCAGTGCTACTGGGTCATGTGCATCTATGAAGTAGCAAAAATACAGTTTTAGTAACCAGATGGCAGGCAACACTCCCTTAGCAAATATCACATTGAATTGATTACAGCACTCTAGCAGTTACTTAGAGGTGATTAAAGTAAGTTACCTGACCTATAGTGGCAACAAAATCTGACTTATTGTCATCAATGTTTGCATCAAATTCCAAGCAAACAGCAATTACAATTTATGTTAGTTATTTCAATGTACAGATGCTGGTTTTATCCAGTTTGTAATTTTTTTTTTAAGAGAGAGAGAGAATTTTTTTTTTTTTTTTTTTTAGTTTTCGGCAGACACAACATCTTTGTTTGTATGTGGTGCTGAGGATCGAACCCGGGGTGCCAAGCGAGCGTGCTACCGCTTGAGCCACATCCCCAGCCCCTGTAAATGTTTTTAATTGCTGCTGTTAATTCAGCAGACTTATATTTTAGGGGCAAGAAAAACATTAAGTGCAACTTAATTCCCCCTAGAGCATATTTGCAAGTCTACATTAAGTCATAGAATTTCTTCCCTTCAGAGAACAGATTTGTGAACTCATCTTTTTCAGAAAGTCTTCCTCCAAGATAATTATAATTATCCTCCCCAGAAAGAACTATAACCTAACTGTCTTCTGTTATTTTAGAATATAAAGTAGTGCTGAGCTACATCATTTTGCAGTTACAACTTTATAGCATCAATCTCTATCTTTGGAAATTCAGTTCTCAGAAAAATAAGCCAATTAATCAATTTTTATTTATTCCTTGTTTATAACAGACCTGTTTCTTCCTGCACTCTAAGTAAGACTTCTTACAACTTCTGTGGGTATTATTCTACTATTCAGGCTAACATAAGTATATCCCAGATATAATTTGTTTCCTGTGTTCATTCAAAAGTACTGTTTTGGCTTTGGGCTTTGAGATCCTCTAGCTTTATGTCTGAAGAAAAGATACCTCCATCAACAGAGCTAAAGCAACCAACCTTCTCAAAGAGGACTTTAAAATTATAGGCACAAAAATCCACATAGAAGAGCACTTTTTCTTTTCTTTTCTTTTTTTCTATTTGTAGTGCTGAAGATTGAACCCAGGGACTTGTACATTTAGGCATTGCTCTACCACTAAGCTATACCCCAGCCCCAGATAATTTTTTAAACCAAAGTTAAACACGAACTCCCTAAACTGGTCAGCAGTTTCAAAGAATGGGGTGTGGTTATATCCAAAAACACATCAACTTCCCAGGAGACCAGACTGAGGCTCAAAGGTAAAGTGATTTGCCCAACAATATGCAGTGAGTTATGGGACAGAGCTAGGACTATGTCACACTATTCTGACCTGAAGGCGAATATTAGTTCCATTAAACTACATTCTCCCTCAATTATTGACCACCCCCCAGAACTGCTTTCAGGGAGAGGTATGCACATCTTCCCTTCTCTCAGTCTCACAAAGCCATTTGTTGCTATTCATTTGGATATGACGTCAAGATAAAAAAGAATCTGCTGAACAGTTTTCTCCTGAGAAGTAATAAACTTCGAGACATTGGTGATAGTCTAGTATAAAAGGGCCCTGTGGGTGGATTAGGCTGGGAAACACCAACTGGTGTCTTAATCTATTTTCTTTGGCTATAACGAAATACACGAGCCTGGGAAACTTATGAAGAATAAAAGTTTATTTGGCTCATGGTTCTGGAGGCTAGGGAGTCCAAGAGCATACCACCGACATTCAATCTGCATATCTTGGGCTGCATCCTAACAGGGTGGAGGGCATCACATGGTTAGACAGCAAACTTGCTAGCTTGGATCTCTCTTTCTCTTCTTATAAAGCTACTAACTCAGTCATCTTCACATACCTCCCGAAGTCCTCATCTCCCAATACCATCAACATATGAATCTGGGGATTAAGTTACCAACACATGAACTTTTGGGGTATACATTCAAATCATACCAACTGAGTTTAACGAAGTTAAACGTTTATAAATACATAAATATTCTTATGATTTACCCTGTACCCCCAAGTGAAAGAAATAGAGTGTGGAATTCCCAAACTTGTTTGGCCATGGGACCCTCTTTTTGCCAAACCCCAGTTAACTTTCAGAGCTCTAGAAAACCACAGAGCACAATGTGGAAAATTCTGCGATGGAGGCATTAAGTGCTCCCAAAGCCTTGGCATAAGGAAAAGACAGCTTGGGCTTGGCAGGGTTTTACTTCCAGACTCTGTCACTTGGGGGCTTAGTCTCCAATTTAGGTGAAGCAGTAGGTAATAATAACCTTGAAGCTAAAGATGATGGATTCATGAGGCTCTTTCAGGATGCAAAGAAGCACCCTGAGATCACCACAGGGGACAGAAAATACAGGAAATTGGGGATCAGAAAACCATTTTAGGCCCCACACAGTCAGGACTTATGGAACTGGAATTTCCATTATCATTCAAAAAACTGCATCTGCTCCAGGGACCAAAAGCAACTCTAAAGTGATATAGGTATCATCTTGTTTAAAGTGAGCTTCATTCACTCCCTGCTTTCATTAACTCACTATTACAAGTACTCAATCAACCTCTTCTCTAGGGTATGAGAAATATATAACATTCAAAAGGAGGACGATAAGGTCAGAGGCGGCAGTGAGAGAAGTCAAGAGAGGAGGGAGTAGCTGGCCTCTAAGTAATCCTTGAACAGATAAGGATTGTTAAAGAGGGTAAGGGATCTGTCAGTCTTATTTGCCTCTGCTACCCAGCACTGAGCACATGACTTGGATCACATAGGCAATCAAATATGCAACTGAATGAAACTATGGGTGGATGATATGAAAAGCAAGGACAGAGAGGGAGAAATGAATAGGTCTAGGGCAGGGGATGAGGTTCAGAAATCCCAATTAATTGGAAAAGCTGAGTTGGTAGTAATATCAGATAAGCTATGGTTTAGGGAAGGGCAATTAGTAAGGGATCTTAAATGATGTTTATTCACCCATTCAAATAATTTTTGAGTTATTTTTTCAGATCCCACTCCAGGTTCTAGGGATATAGCAGTAAACCGAACATAAACATCCCTGTCCTGATAAAACTTACATTCTTCATGGGGAGATATAGGAAGATAGAGAAAAAAAATGAAATATACTGTGTGCAAGATTGTGATAAATGATGAGGGTGGAATGAAACGGGAGGGGATGGGAATGCCAGCAGGGGATAGTTTACCATTTTAAATATATACTGAAGGATTTGTGTTTGACAGAATAGTGACATGAACTTGGAGTTCCTGCCAAGTTTTCATGAGTCAATAATATCTATAAGTAAGGGTTACATTTCTTTTAACCTATAGAATAGGGAAAATTAAATTGGATATAACTTAATATGAGATACAGTGGTCCAAGTCAATTTTG